CCAGAGTCTGGCTAGATGAAAGAGACCAGACGTGTCTGACAGGAAGAAGTTCTCTATGTGGTTGGAACAGATCTGCGGTCAGGGGAAGGTCACCTAGTTTGAATAGGCCTGGAATAGGCACATTAGACTCATTGGTTTCTGTAAGAATGACAGGAGCTTGAAGGATAGGAGTTGGTGCTGGAAGGTGGTGTAGGTGTGGCCCACGTGAAATTCAGTCTACACAGAAGGAAATTTCAAGGCATAGAAGTGTCTGGACCACTGAGCGTTCTCCTTGAGTTTCCTGGATAAATTATTTCTCTTTCTTGTCCGTTTCCCTGTTTGTAACACTGGGATGATGCTGGTCTCTGTAGAATGGGGGCTAGTGACAAGTCAACGAAGAGTGCATAATATTCATCACAGTGGCTATTGCGGCCCTTTGGGGCCTCTCATTTTCATTTTCAAAATAAGCCTGGGATATAGGATCAGTCATCACCCCCATTTTACAGTGAGTTAGCTGAATCTGGGAGCTTGGGTCAGCCAAGATCATGTGACTGATGAGAGGCAGAGCATGCCCTCTTCTACAGATCATGTGCCCTGAATTGTAAGTCTGGATCAGTGCTTAACATGTATCCAGTTGCTAAATGAATTGCTGCTGTGGTTAGAGTCAACAGTTTGTCACCCAGAGCCAAGGATCCTGGTCTCACTTTACAGCTGGTTGAAGGTCACCAGACCAGCCCGCTCATCAGGTGTAGTGACTACATTCAGAAGACTCTTGTGGCCCACAGTAGACAGTTTCGACTGGATCGCTTTTGGAATCAAGTTAGGCATGTCTTTTTGATTTAATTTAGTTTTTTTTTTTTTTTAAGTTATTCACTTTACATCCCAATCATAGCCCCCTCCCTCATCTCCTCCTGGACCCACCCTCCTACCTTCTTCCTCCCTATTCTCCTCCCCTAGTCCTCAGACAGGGGGAGCCCTCCTCCTTTAACAACTGAACCCAGACTATCAAGTCTCATCAGGACTGCCTGCATCCTCTTTCTCTGTGGCCTGGCAAGGCCACCCCGCCACGGGGAAATGATCAAGGAGCAGGCAACAGACTTCAAGTCAGAGATAACCCCTGCTCCCCATACTAGGGAACCCACTTTGAGTCGGAGTTGCCCATTAGCTACATCTGAGAAGGGGGCCTAGATCCTGTCCATGCATAGTCCTTGGTTGATACATCAGTCTCTGCAGGCTCCTCCTGAGGTGGCTTCTTCTGATGGCTGAGGGTGTTACCCATTAAAAATATCATGTCCCACCAGTTTGTGTGTTAAGATTGGCAGGAAACTTTAGTCTGCAAGCAAGAGGTTCATCCAAGGGTTAGTGTTCTCTGAGAGGGTTATGAAAGAACATCTTCCATCTGTAATCCCTGAAATAAGCAGAAGTGTTTAAAGAAGTGTTTCATTCAGCAAGTATTTACTGAGCACCTACTATGTGCTCGACACTCAGCTAGTGTCTGGATACTCACTGACAGTAGCATTAAAGGCCGACAAGGTGTCTACTTCTATCTGTAGTGGAAAAAGGCAGCAGTCAGTTAAGATGAGTGCACATGCAATGGTAAATGCTGACACCTCAAAGGGCACTTGTGAAGAGACATTTTCTGGTTCTCCCAGGAGGCTGCTCCAAATCCAGTTACTCTCTGAACGAGTAAAGAAAGCCCTGAACTCTTTTTCCCCTTCTCCCTGAGCTGTGGACTGAACCAAGGGCTTTGGACCCGCTAAGTAAGCAAGCGCTTTTCCACATAGCTAAATCTCCAACCCCAGCCCTGAACTGTTTGGTAAAAGGTTGCTTCTGTCATGCCCAGAGCCTGCCTTCTGTCTCACTCCTACTCATGAAAGCAATGGGTCTTTCAGCCAGAGCCTACGGTCTCCAGTGGAGCATGTCTCCATTTTGCTGACAAAGCTGGTTGTCATGGTAAGCCCTTTTGTTGTGGCTAGTCCTCTGTGACAGGACCACTTGCTGCTTCTTTCCGGTTTCCAGTGCTAGACCTCCTGCAGTAGGCTTCAGGGCCAGATCCATATTATGCAGCCAGGTGATGCAGAAGATAAAGTGTATTTTCACTATTGTCCTCAAGAGTTTGCCTTAGTTACCCAAATAACAGAACAATGATGATGATAGTGATGATGAAGCAGAAGAGGAAGGGGAAAAGGAAGAAGACCTTCCTCAGCAACTTTTCAGGCCTGATACATGAACACACTTGAGTCACGTTTTCAATCATGTGTGCACAGATAACGCGTTTTGTGTCTCTATTAAAATGTTGTGAGTGTTCTCTTCTCTGTAGGTACAAAAGTTCACTTGTATTTCTATCCCATTCAAGTGGATGCAACCTCAAGGGGTGTTTGGAAGCTAAGTCAGTAGATTTTTTTTCACCATTATAAATAGGTTTGAAATTAAACCCCCTTTTTCTATACATATTGCTTGATACATTCACGTTCTTTCCTTATTAATCCTCTTTCAGTCCCCACAAGTGTAGAAGGTAGGAGCTCATTTTACACGTGAGGAGACTGAAATGCACACCTCCTTTTTAACTGCTTATCAGCCCCGGGTTGGTAGCAAATCCCAGTGCTTGAGCACTTTCTAGAAGGCTCAGACCATGTTCTTCTCCTTTAGCTGTCTGACAATTTTATTGTGATCTGCCCAGCAAAGTGTAGGACTGTTCTGAAGATGGCCGAGCACTGTCTGGCCTGTAAGCCATTATTTTAATGTTCTGGTTGCCCTAGGTGCTCTGAGGTCACCCTTGAGAGCAACCTTAAGGCTCAGGGTGAGGGGACAACAACATATGGACCTCGGGAAGAGGCAAAAGAATAGATTTTGTGGGTGCACAGGGCCAGGGAGTTATGGGAACAGGAGGGATAAGTCGGAGTGGTGGTGGTGAGGGGGTGGGAGATACTACTGGAATTGAGGGACACTTGGGGATTAATGTAGAAACCTACCACAGTGGAAACTCCAAGGAATCTATGAGGGTGACCCTAGTGACATCTCTCAGTAACGGAGGCTCCGGAGCCTGAACTGGCTATCTTCTATAACTACACGTGACTCCTAGCAGTGGAATTTGGATATCAATCCAGTCACAAAACCTTGGACCTAGAATCTGTCCTGGCTTCCAAGATGTGCTGGAGTAATGGTGGCATAGACCTTGTAGAAGGGTCAACCCATGACTGGTCCAACTTGTGGTCCATGGCAGGAGAGAGAGTCCACTCCTGACACTGTGTGGATGACCAGGAACCAGAGACAGGACAGTTCAGAGACCCCGGACAGAACCAAATATACAACTGGCAAAGGGGAAAACAGCCAGTGCCGTGATTCCTAATGATATTCTGCCATACTCATAGATCGGTACCTAGCCCAGTTGTCATTAGATGCTAGCCCATCTAGCAACCAATAGAAGCAGACTCAGAGACCCACAGCCAAACTCTAGGCAGAGCAAGGGGAACCCCATAGAAGATGAGGAGAAAGGATTGTAGGAGCTAGAGGGGTTGAGGACACCAGGAGAGCACAGCCCACAGAAACAACTAAGCTGGCTCATAGGCACAGAGACTGAAGCGTCAACCATGGATCCTGTATGGGTCTGAGCTAGGTCCTCTGCATATACCTTATGGTTGTGTAGCTTGGTATTCTTGTGGTAATGGGAGTGGGGGGTGTCTCTGGCTCATGTCAGTGCTTGGGACCCTTTTCTGCGAAGTCCAGATGTGACATGAGGGTTTGTGCCCGGTCTTATTGTAACTTGTTAGACCATGTTCAGTGGCTATACCTGGGACGCCTGCTCATTTTCATTTTTGTTTTTTTAAGGGGAACAGAGGAGAGGTTGATAGAGGGCAGAGGAAAGGTAGGCAGAGAGGCTGAGAGGAGTGGCAGAAGGGTGGTGGAGTCATATAATGTGTGAGACAATAAAAGAAAAAAAAATAGCCAACCTTAAATATCATATGCTTCTCAGTTGTTGTTTTTAATTTATAATTTATCTGTTCAAGTTGCTGGCCTTTCTTTTGGGAGGCTTTTTACCATATTAGTCCTTTATTTTTTAAAATTAAAAATCTCAAAGAGTAATCAGTGTTTATTTTAGACATTGTTCAATGTGTCCAAAACTTCAAAGATAGAAACATCTTTTCTGTCTTCCTAGGTACTCTTCCCCCTCCCTGTACTTTATCTTTTTACAATTTTTTTTTCTGAATTTAAGTAGTATTTGCAATTTTGTAACCCACATTAAATGTAACTGATAAGAAAAAAATAAAATTAAAAAAAATGTTTAAAAAAAAATACATGACTCTTCCATAGTAATGCAAACAGGGTCTGTCTCTGACATGAACTGATTGGCCTGCTTTTTGATCACCTCCCCCTGAGGGGGGTGCAGCCTTACCAGGCCACAGAGGAAGACAATGCAGCCACTTTTGATGAGAACTGATAGACTAGGATCAGAAGAAGGAAAAGAAGACCTCCCCTATTAGTGGACTTGGGGAGGGGCATGGGTGGAGAAGGGAATTGAAAGGAGGGGTTGGGAGGGGAGAAGGGAGGGCGCTACATGGGGGATACAAAGTGAATAAAGTGTAACTAATAAAAAATTAAATTAAAAAAAATAAATAAAATAAATTTAAAAAATACATGATTCAAACTTTCCCATATTATTAAATATTTTGTACAAATGAATATTTTTTTTTTTAAATCTACTTGGGGTTTTTGTGGAGGGCGGGGTGAGTCCTTATCCTATTTATTCTCAAGGAGAGGTTAATTACCAGTTTCTTCCCAGATGGTTTTGTAATGTCCTCTTTTTAAAACATCCTTATCTTCCTTATCTTTTCTAGGCTCTCTACATTACTCATAGACCTTAGGTGTTTCATTTTCAATTGGCCTTTACCTCTTCCAGCATGACCAGGGCTTCCTGGGATACGCCACCACTCACCTTCAAAAGCGCCCATCTGTCCTGTTAATATTTAACACCACCCTGTTAGAAAAAATCAGTCTAACCTCCTTTTTTATTTGTATTTCAGATGGTTTTTGATCATCCTGAGAACGAGCCTTGGCCTCCAGACCTATTAGAGTGAAACTCATCCCCATGGAGAATAGTGCTGGTTCCTGAGGACCTGGAGGGCCTTCAGCCCCAAAGGGATTAGCTAGAAACAGGTAAGAGTTGAGGGTGACTTTCCTGAGTGACAAAGTATGGGCCAGAATATGCTGGCAAGTGGCTGCACTGCTTTCTCTCTGCTTGTTCTTTTCCTACACTTCTAAATGCTTGTTCAGTGACAGCCAAGAAGGTGTGGCTAGCAGGCCTGCCATCCCTATAAGCTTCAGAGGTGAGGTCTGAATTGTTCTGTAACTCGTAGCCTTTTATGAGAACATTTATATGCCAAACATTGCATTTGACGTTAAACATGCCTCAGGGAATAGATAGGGCAAAACTCCTTACTTACAAGGTTTCTTTATTGTCTATCCACTGTTGGCTTGGTGGCAATATTCTTAACTGCAGTATTCTTTTCCGAGAAGTGTCCTTCAGGTGTAAAGATTCGTTGATACAGTTTTGTCAGCTTAATAATTCCTGTCTGAGCATGACCCTGGTCCAAGTTCTGTTCCGGGGCCAGTTGAATAGAAAGGTTATCAGGAAGCATTCTCCTCTGGCAAAACCCAAGCTTTGTAAACACCGGTTGTTAACAAGCAGGGATTATGGTGAAAGTCAGGGGCAGAGAACACATCAGCTGCAAAGCCTGCAAGCTTACCAAGTAAGTCTAGTGGTGGGAAAATCCAAACCATATACTGTTTTCCAAAAATTTTTGGAGACAATGTCACTTCTCTTTTCCATGATGGAGGTGGTGGGTGAGGCATTCCTCCATGTCTTTCTTGCTCAAAGAGCCAGGCAGGTAAGAATAGCCCCTTCAGCTCTGAGTGGCCGTGACTAGAAACCCCAGCTGGCTTCCGATGATGGCAGTATGGAGGGACCACACAAGCCCTGATGGAGTGAATCTTTTATTTATGTATAAATAGGGAATTTATTGGAATAACTTACAGGGTGCATTCCAATTAACCCAACAATGGCTCGCTGTGGATGGAAAGTTCAAGAAGCTGGTTGTTGCTAAGTCCTATGAGGCTGGGTGTCTCAGCTGGTCTTCTGTATATTCTGGAATCCCTGAGGAGTAGGTTTCAATGCCAGCGAAGAACCCCGATCACAGGTGTGCCCTCCATTTCTGGATTGTCGTTCATTCCAGATACAGTCAAGTTGACAACCAAGAATGGCTGGGACAGCCATGAAGGCCCAGGCCAGCAGAGGTCTCTGAGACTCACTGGAGTCATCTGTGGAAACTCCTATTTCCTTAGGCACCCCAGGAAAGGCAGTTGCAGCCTTTTCCAAGCTGCCACTCGCATAACAGTGAAGTGGGGTTCCCGCTGCTATCTCCTCTCCCCTAGAATTGCAGGTCACTTTCCAACTTGTTATTTCCATGTCAGTCATACAAGTACAGAGTTGCATGTGTTTCCCAAACCTACACTCGGTACTCACGGGAGCTTCCCTGGTTATCACAAAGCACCACACTGCATATAACACTTAATTCCTGTGAAAAGAACCTCTGGTACATGGTGCCTACCAACGATGGCAGATGAGGGATGCTTTCCTCTACCTGGGAGTGTCATCTCTGGACACTCTAGTTCTGAGTTCTGATGGTCAACACTTACGGTTTTCTGATCCTGATTAAAGATTTCTGTCCTTCAGGGCAAAAACTATAAAACCAGCGGTTCTCAACCTTCCTAATGCTGCGACCCTTTAATACAGTTCCTCATGTTGTGGAGACCCCCCACCCATAAGATTATTTCATTGCTACATCATAACTATAATTTTTGCTGCTGTTATGCATAATAATGTAAAGAGCTAATATTCAGGGCATCTAATATGTGACTCTCAGAGGGGTTGAGACCCACAGGTTGAGAGCGATGGCTATAAACCATTAGATATAGGCTAACCTGAATTGGAATCCTGGTTCTAGCGGTGTGGTGAGCTAGTGACACTGAAGACTTGCTAAAGCCTCACTCTGATTATTCTAACACAGAGTTGTGAAAACATACTTTTTCGTGTTTGTGCTTGGTGTGAGACATTACAGGTGAAGTGCCTAAGTGATAGGGTTTCCTAAATGTTGTCTCTCCTCTAGTCATTCTTGAGCTGCCATGTGGTCAGTGCTCTTGACTGGGGAAATTGATTTCATTTGCTTTCCAATGGTATAGCAAGCCCTCGGCCTCACATTCATGATGCTGTATCCGAATTCTTGCTCCTCTGTGTACATCACATCCCTTCCAGATATCATTCACGTCACTGTTCATTCACCGATATCACCGCTCTCTTGGCCCTCTTGTCAAAGGGCTGCTGTCCTTTCACTGCTCAGAATACCTGCCCCAGCCTTTACCTTTATGGGGTTTCTACCCTTTAACCCACCCTTTTATTTAACACTCCCAACACGGCACAGATGAAATAGATAGGGATGACTAGTCTACAGGTTCTCAGGGGCAGACAGATTCACCTGTTCAAGCTCACAAAGAATGGAATCAAGGCCCCAGGCTTCACGAATTTCCAGTCTAGGACACCCACTACTTTCTCTCAAACATTCTCAGGGGCAAGCTTGGTGGGGAATAACTTCAGACTCTCAGGGTGAACAAAGCCCGGAGGGCAGTTGCTTTGACTCCTGCTAAGTGAACTAAGGAGACAGAGAATTTAGTGTCTTCCAAAGGATGCAGACCCTGTCAGCTACGGAGTGCCTCCATCTTCCATTCATTATGCCATTTACTTCCATTTAGTCAGGGGCCGTCTTTCTTAATCTTAGCAAGACTTCCCATCCTCTGTCACAAAATGATCTAGCCACTTGGGTACACTGAATAGTGGACTGTGGGGCTAAATTTTGGCCTAGAAAGTCCCAGATCAGAGCCCTCACAGAAAGAACTGTATTACAAGTGCATGGGGGATTTCTCTGGCTTTTTTTTTTAAGATTTATTTATTTATTATGTATACAGTATTCTGCCTACATGTACACCTGCATGCCAGAAGAGGACACCAAATCTCACTACAGATGGTTGTGAGCCACCATGTGGTTGCTGGGAATTGGATTCATGATCTCTGGAAGAGCAGCCAGTGCTCTCAACCTCTGAGCTACCTCTCCAGCCCTTTTAACTCCCCAAGACCCAGTTGGGGAGGGAGGGAGGGAGGATTTCAGAGACTCTGGCTTTTGTGTCTAGTCTAATCAGTCTGCTCCCTTTTGATTGTTGCTTCTGAGGGTGTGGGCTTCTGAACATGGGCTGTAGGAGTGACCTGGTCTGAGAGGCTCTGGCCTGAAATTCTTGAGTGGGCTGGAGCAGAGCGCCAGAAGCCAAGAGTCACGGCACACAGACTAGGGGTGGAAAAGTGGAAAATGCTCACGGCTCAATGAGAGGTTCCAAAGAACGCTGCCTACATTCAGAGCCCATGCTAAGGCTCCCCTGCCCCTGTTGGCTTGCTCGAGGCTGCATATCTGATGGGAGGCAGCTGGGGCTGGACTCCAAGTCTGTTTATGCTAGATCCTTTGCTTGGCCCCTTGCCCCACTGCACGCTGCTTCGGATATACCCTCCATCATCTTTCTTCCCCCCGTTCTCTGTCTTCTAGGCTTGCTTCCTGCTCAGAACAGTGGCTTTCCTGCACGTACCTTTCATTATGATCCATACCAACTTGAAGAAAAAATTCAGCTGTTTTGTCCTGGCCTTTGTCCTGTTTGCACTCATCTTTGTGTGGAAGAAAGGGAACTACTATGAGGCTGTCACATTGCAAGCCGAAGAGTTCCAGATGCCGAAGAGCCTGGAGGAACTGGCCATGGGGTCTGGTTCCCAGTCTGTGTCCGCAAGCATCAGACAAGACCCTAAGCAAAGCACTCGAACCCTCAGTCAACCCAGGGTCCCAACCAAGGGCAAACTACAGCGTGCCTTCCCGGTGTGGGACAAGAGCTCCTCATACAAAAACGTTGAGCCCAGGCTGCAGAACATCTGGAAGAATTATCTGAACATGAACAAGTATAAAGTGTCCTACAAGGGGCCAGGGCCAGGGATCAAGTTTAGTGCAGAGGCCCTTCGCTGCCGCCTTCGAGACAATGTGAACGTATCCATGATAGAGGCCACAGATTTTCCCTTCAACGCCCCTGACTGGGAGGATATCTTGCCTGAGGAGGACATTAGGGCCAAGGCTGGACCATGGCACAAGTGTGCTGTTGTTTCCTCTGCAGGAGCTTTGAAATCCTCCCGGCTGGGCCGAGAGATTGGTATGTGTCTTAGGGTTTGCACTGCGGCAATGAAACACTGAAAGAGCGGAGCAAAGGGTTTCTTTGGCTTACACTTCCACATTGCTGTTCATCAGGGCAGGAACCTGGAGGCAGGAGCTGATGCAGAGGCCATGGAGGGGTGCTGCTTAGTAGCTTGCTCGCTCTGCTTTCTTGTAGGACCACCAGCCCAGGGATGACACCACCCACAGTGGGCTGGGCCCTCCCCCATTGATCACTAATTGAGAAAATGCCTTGCAGCTGGATCTCATGGAGGTATTTTCTCAACTGAGGCTCCTTCTTCTAATATCTTTAGATTGCGTCAAGTTGGCACACAAAACCAACCAGTACAGACTATTCCCGAGTGGCTGATGGTCCTAGGACTGGCTGGGGAATTTCGGTGCCCTAAAACAAGAATTCAAGCATAGCTTAGCAGACCAGCAGAGTTGCCCCAGCGAAGTGGCTTCAGCTGGCTTTCCTGGAGTGACAAATGCTTTGTGTCCTCATGCTTCTTGCATTTTGTCCCCTGAGCTCCCTCCCTTTTCCTTTTTCTGACACATGCAAATTCCTTGAGTCTCGCCTGGCTAATTCTCAGCTTTTCTCAGAACACTCTAACTGTAAGAGGCCCCAGGTCAAAGGACAGCAGTTTGCTGTTCTTGAAATCCCTAGCAGCTGATAAAGAGCCAGAGTCTTCATATTGCCAGACTTGCAGCTGAGAGCTAACTAACTTGTGCAAAGCCACTTCTTTCTGTTTTTTATTTTTGAGAGAACTCTGGCAGTAGAGAGAGCCTTGCTGCCAGGTGGGGGTCCTCTAGAGGGTGAGGTCATATATTCCTTTCAATTTTCTCAAAGAAGGAATACAGACCCAAATCGGATTCTTTAGAGCAGAGGGAGGCGACATCACATTTTCTGTCTCCCTAAGTCAATAGTCATCCTAACGAGGTCCACAAAAATGTCCAGTCCCATCCCAACTTCGGCTTTTACCCTTATGATTTCTTTGGACTTTTTTTTTTTCCCTTTCTGAGAACTAAATGTGATTGATTTCCGTCCTGTGTAACGGAATTAATTTTCTTTGTTTCTTCTCTGCATCTGCAACAGAACAGTTGCGTTTAGGATGGTTCGTGTTAGATGATCCTCGCTCTTTCTATCAAGTCACTTTCTGGGTAAAATTGAGTTCAGGATTAAGGAAGAGCCGAATCTCTTTGTAAACTGAAGCTACAGCTTGATTTTTATGTGTTTCTTACAAGACAAATAAACAAACAAAAAACCCCGAGTTCATTCCTGAACTCATCAGCACCACAGGATGACGGCCTGAAACACAAAGGCCCATGCGTGCCTCGGCATTGCAGCTCTTGGGCTTGTTGTGACAGTTGAGCCTGACCATGGCTTCATGCACAGCTCTTCTTACGGTGTAGCTCAGATCATTGAGGAGGCTAGGCTCCTGCCCTGCCATGGAGAAATGGCCCCAGGAATTGGGTTAGAAAGCCAACCTGTGCACAACTTTGATGATTCTTTTTTTTTTTTCCATCCATAACGTATTGTGTCTCCAGTCACCCCACAAATGAGGCTGGTAGGGCCCCATAATCAGAAGGGTCTTTTGAAACAGTAATAGTGTACTTATGTAGATAAGCTACGTAGATAAGCTGAGGATTGTGTTTCAAATAATAGCATATTTTTAACATACTGTCACCAATCAGAACGATACAGTGTGCGATCACTGTGTGCTTGGTGTACCTGCTTTCATCCTTTTCATTTTATTTTTGTGCGTGGGTGTTTTGCCTGCCTGCATGTCTGTGTGCTACATGTGCACTTAGCACCCATGGAGGCTAGAAGAGGGCGTCAGATCCTTGGAACTGGAGTTACACACCTAGCTATGAACTGCCTGCGCTTGGGTGCTGGAAACTGAACCTGTGGCCTCTGGAAGGGCACTCAGTTTTCTTAACTGCTGACTCATCTCTCCAGCCCCCACAGTTTCAAAAATATAATATTTTCATTCATTCTCTGAGAATGTGATACATGCACATAGTTTGATCATATTTTGATCATGTACACACACACACACACACACACACACGCGCGCGCGCGCGCACCCGCTCCCCTCATGTCCACCTCTAACTCCTCCTGACTTCTTGTGCCCTTTTTGTTTTAATAACTCCCCGAATCCAGTCTGTGCTGCTCACACGCTCATCCTTCTGGGTCCATCCGCTGCAGCTTGGTCTACCCACTAGGGGCTACTCCCCAAGGGAAACTGACTCACTCTCCCTTAGAAGCCGTATACTGTTCGTAGCTCTCAGCTAGGGGTGCCTCTGCCCCCCCCCCCACAAGCTGGGATGTGTACTGGCTTTGTCTCCTGCAGCACCTGCTGTCTTGGGCCCCCAGCAGTCCCCATGAGCTAACTGTGGAGGCCCAAGGAATGCACAAGTGGTTGTAGGCAGAGAAGGGGTTGAGAGCGGTCAGGTGACTCAGGGATGCTCCTGTTGCATCTCATAACAATAGTGGGCTCTGAGTGATTGGGGCTGGATCAGTTCCTCCTGGCTTCCCCAGAGGAAAGGAAAACAACATTCTGAGGCAAAAGCAAGAAACGGAGGCTGTGTGGTAGAATGGTAGAAGCTGTTGGGGTGTGGGGCCCATTGGGTGGAGAAGGGTGAGGAGTTAAACCAGAGAGATAGCTGGCGATCAGTGGGGAGAAGTGACAGACTATATAAGGATTTGGGATTTTAGTTTTTGATTTAAAAAAAAAAAATCCAGACTTTATGCTCAGATCTCCATAGTCATGTCCTGATCCTCGTCTTTTTTCTTCTCGTCATAGCGCAGTGGTTCTCAACCTGTGTATTTTCTTTCCCAGTGCAGTAAAATGCAATGTCTTTGTGGGGAAGGACCTTGTCTTTTTTTTGCCCATTGTCTCTGGTGCCTAAAACTATGCCAGGCATAGCATAGTCTTCAATCAGAATTTCTTCATGAAGAAATGATCATGCTCTCTTTTATGCCTAACCTCAAGGACCTATCCAAAGCTTTCTGTGATGGGGAGTCTCCATTTTTCCCTCCAAGTCACCCCCTCCTCCATTTCCACCTGCCTCTGATATCTTGAAGTTTTGGACTATGTCAGTGGGCATACCCTGTCTTCAGGCTTGCCCAAAACTGGCTCAGGAGAGTACTGGCTTGCCTCTGAGGAGGAAGAAGGTAAGGCTAGACTCAGTTTTCCTTAGGGCTCCACAGGATGGCCCCTGGCTGTGGTTTTCTGGGATCAGAAGTCTTAGGCCCTGTCAGGGAGAAGTTTTCAATTCTGGTTTTGCTCTTTTCTTTCTCTTCAGTCCTGTGAGAGCAGGAGGTGAAGCAGACAGGAGGGAAAGATGTTGAGTCTATCCCTCCACCAAGATAGGCCTGATGACAGTGGCCTTCCTCAGTTCAGAGTCTCTGCTTTTCCTACTGTGGTATGCCTCGGGGTGGGAAGAGCTACATGCAGCTCTGGGTGGTGGGGTGATGTCCTCAACATCTGCCACGAGGACGGCGCTTTCATGGCTCCTGGGATCTTTGCCTGGGAAGTTGCCTAAGTGTGATGTCTGGCAGGTCTGCATCTCGCCTGTGCTTATCACTTTGGAACCCTGTGCCTGGTTCAGAGAAACCAATAAGTTGTGTTGTGTAAGAGTGGATCCGGTGCTCTCTTCGGAGCACTGCCGGGAAGCTGATAAGATCTGGACTATGCTCATCTTGTGTCATTTCCGAACCATTCTAAAAAGCATGTTGTCTAGGAATCAAACCCTGTTGTTTCTGGGAAGAAGCCATCTGGATTCCTGCGGGTTAGAGACAAATATATATGAATTGAAATTAAGAGAAAGACTTTCATGGCTTAATTCTGTGGGCACCTCCTCCTCCCTTTTACAGGCCGTTTTGTATGGAGCCGAATGCCTTCTGTTCTTCCTATCTTATCTGTGTAGATCTTGAACAGAGCTAAACAAAAATTCACGGACAGGAGATGATCTCCAGTCTGGTGGAGACTTGGCTAGTGAACCCGAGACTTGTTTGAGCGAGTGAGGTGGGGGTGAACTCTGATAGAATCATAGAGACTTAGGGTTGGGATGGGACCTGAAGCCATGACTTGTGTCACCTCCACCCGATCAGTTCAGAAACTTGTACAAATTATGCTTAAAGAAGACCAGGAAGTAGTTACGTGTTTTTGAGATGGTCTGTCTGGCCTTGGCTGGAGTTAATGAAGTATATTATTTCTAACAAAGTACCTGCTTAAAAACAAAACAAAACAATGCAAAACCAATCAGGCTGGGCAAAGGATATGGTCTGCTGGTGATAGCTAGCGAGAGTGTGGCTTGTTCCTTTCATGACTGAGTAAAGATTCTGCTGTACATAACCTGTTGGCCATGTTCATTTTTCTGCTGTGTCTCAACACACTGGTGCCAGTGAATGGGCCTCAAACTTAGTGGACACTGTAGCTCTGGCAGTGGCTGGCATCAGGTGGTCATCTTTGTGAACCTCACAGAGCACCATGCTCATATTATAATACCCTCTGTGTGTTATATGAGACAATGGCGTGCATTTTGATCTTCCCTCTACCTCCCTTTCTCCTTTCTCTCTTCCTGTGTATTGGTAGCACTCACCCCCTATTTTCCATTTCCTGTGGTTTACAGATAATCATGATGCAGTCCTGAGGTTTAATCGGGCACCCACAGCCAACTTCGAACAGGATGTGGGCACGAAAACTACCATTCGCCTAGTGAATTCTCAGGTAAGAGTTCTTTTCTGCAGATAGCACATGGGTGTCAGACAACTACAGTGTGGGCCCCAATGCTGAGTGTGTTGACATCAAAGCTGCCAGCTTGATTAAGTTTCTTGACCTCCCGAGTTCCAGATACATCACTGAAGAAAAGACAGTGATCCCATGGCTATCCTTGTGATGTGTCCAGAAAATTCTCTCCACACTGATAGTGTACAAGATAGAGCTGCCTGCGGTCTAGGGAAATAGGGTTCTGATTTTTCTTGTAACCATGTAATTGTGCCTGTAATTTTGGACAAGAGACAGCAGAGTACAGGACATCCCAGGGAGAAGCAAAGATACGTGTGGAGCTCGAGATGGGCTCTAAAACACTGCTTGAGTAGAGGACTCACACCAGTGCCACAGTAGTCTTTAGACTATGTGTAGAACCCACACCTTACCTCATCAGTTTCCTAAGTCCATTTCTGAAGTATTCTGAGTAGTAGACATATTGCTTATACTGCTTTCTCAACACTAATAGAAACTCTTGCCCAGTTCTGATAACAGTTCTGATAACAGTTCTGATAACTCTTAACAGTTCTGATAACAACCTTAGTGACAAAACCTGGATTATACACATATCCTAAACTGCATGGTAGCCAGGCACAATGGTGTGTGTGTTCAGTCCCAGCTACCAAGGAGACTGAGACAGAATTGAGACTCGATAGATACCTAGATAGATAGATAGATAGATAGATAGATAGATAGATAGATAGATAGATAGGAAGATAGATAGGAAGATAGATAGGAAGATAAATAGATAGATAGACAGATAAGTTCTGTGCTACGACTGCCAATTCAGTAACCCCGCTATTGGCAGTGATGTTTGCTTTTCCCTGAGCAGACAGGGAAGCCATAGATGTTCCTCTGTGAGTGGATAATCTCACTATTATTTCTGTCTGCCTCTCAGGACTCACAGGGCCCAGGGCAGACCAGAAAAGCTTTCCAGCATAGAATGCAGGGCTTGCTTCTTCTCCTGCAGCAGGGTTCCATGTCATCACTTCTCTCTTCACTTTCTGACTCACTGGGACTTCCAGCCGGACTCTGCCCTGCTTCCTGTACAGTGTTCTTTCTATGTGAGGCCCATGGGCATAAGAACAGAAGCCAAGGAACAAAACTGCTGTGCATGCAAGCTTTTTTCTGTCTTTCTTTCTTTCTTTCTTCCTTCCCTCCCTCCCTCCCTCCCTCCCTCCCTCCCTCCCTCCCTCCCTCCTTCCTTCCTTCCTTCCTTCCTTCCTTCCTTCCTTCCTTCCTTCCTTTCTTCTTTTTTTCCTTCTAAAATTTTTTTTGGGGACAGTATCTTGCTGTGTTGCCCAGGCTAGACTTGAATGCTTTTTTTTTTTTTTTTTTTTCCTAGCCTTGAACTCTTTTTTTTCTTTTTCTTTTCTTTCTTTCTTTTTTGGGACAGGGTTTCTCTGTGTAGCTCTGGCTGTCCTGGGCTCACTTGGTGTAGACCAGGCTGGCCTCTAATTCACAGAGATCTGCCTGCCTCTGCCTCCCTGTGTGCTGGGATTACAGGCATGTGCCACTGTGCCCTGTTTATCCTTGAACTCTTAATTCTTTTCTTCCTCCCTCTCAAGTGTTGAAAACCTTCTTGTTAGTTTAATTTAAAAACAGAAGTCACTTTCTATCTTGTGTCCTCATACTTTCAGTGTCTCCGTGCTCTTCTTCCCTGGGGTTTTTCTTGTTTTGTTGAGACAGCATCTCTCACTGAGACCCAGGCCTTGCAGATTAAACTACACAAACCCCAGGGATCTTCCCGTCTCTGCCTCCCCAGTACTGAGGTTACAAGAGCATGCCATTATGCCCAGTTTTTCATGTAGGTGCTAGGAATGGAACTCATGCCCTTACACTTTGCTCAGCAAGCATTTTACTGACTGAACCATCTCCCTACTCCCTCTACCCCCCCATTCCCATTTTGGGTTTCCATATCACTTTCTTTAGTAAGAAAAGAGATAAATGTTAAAGAAATGGTTCATTTGACAACATTCTCTGATGCGAGCGGCCTTGAGCTTGACTTCGAAAGGGGGCTAAATTTAGAAAAACATTCGTGGGGAGACTTGCTTGAAAAAGAGATTAACAGGAAAGAGGTAGTGAGAAAGTCTCCTTAGCTCAGGCTGCGCTGAAGGTTGAAGGAGGCAGGATTCGTGTTGCCTGGCAGAGGGGCATGAGGCTGGCCTCCAAGATGCTCAGGGTAACAAGTCTGGAAAATATGTTACTTACTGAGGATCTTTTACTACCCCCTCTTTATGCTTTGTCTTTAGTCCCTCATATTTCACCTGGTTTTCTCCGGATGCCCCAGGCACAGGAACCCTGAGCTGGCGAGCACCATAGGGAGCGCCAATACCTATCTTCTACTTCCATATGAAATGAACTAATTACCATGCATGCCTGCATCCATGCATTCAGCACATCACACTAACCTGCACCCATTCATTTAGCAAGTTTCTAGAGGATTAGGTAAGCAGCAGCAGTCAGTCCCTGGCCTCTGCAGTTAGCCTCGCTCAGGGATTGGCCGGACAGCTCTATATCTTGGTAGCAGAATTGTTGTGTACACGTTTCTCTCTAAAGAGAATGACAGGATTTTCCTCATAGAGTCATTGTGAAATACAGATTGAAAAAAAAAAAAAGTGGGTGGTACTTGGGATAGAACCTTGCCTGGATGTCTCTAACTCTTAGCTGCTGTTACCGTTTGTATGTGCAGACACGGAGCTGGGTGGGGAGAGTGGGGAGAGCGCACTGCTCGTCAGCCTCTCTTCTCTGATTGCCTGTAGATAAAATCAGGTGTTCATGCAAAGACGCTGAAAGCTTTAATAGGGAACTTCAGAAGGGAGAAGCACAGAGCTGGGGTGGGGTTCCGGGTGTGGAAGGGCTGCCATGGATGCTTCTTAGGGGAGGTGATACTTAGTTATGTATTTGGGGGACAAGTAAATGATGATGAGATGGGAAAGAGCCAACAGCTCCGGTGAGACACTGTACTGAAGCCGGCTGAGGACAAGGAAGGACGTAGAAAGAGGAGGGGGGCAATAGGCTGTGGTGAGAGATAACGGCAGTCAGACTACCAAAGAGTCCTTCTGGCTTGATGGCGTTTGCAGTTTGTAATTGTTGTCTTTATCTGGTCAGAGGAACTGTGGTTACTAGAGGGACACTGTAGTAGAAGAGGGCTAATATTATTTGCTATTAATACATATAATTATTGTGCTGGGTACTATTTAACTCGCTATCATATCAATAAAAGACACAGACACCTGTTAGATTTTTAATATACCTTTACACTGGAACTGGGCAGAAACTAACCCCCTAAGCTACCTTGTTATCTATCTCCCAGCTCCATGTCCCATGGCATTCGCTTTCATTATTGCTATCTGGGACACTTCCATCCACAATTCCCATCAACGCTTGTACATGTTTTCCAGCTGGAGCTGCTTCTCTCCAGTGTCTGATCCTCAGAGCAAGCCCCTCCTGCCGCATGCTTCCAGATCTTCCTTAACTCCCTTAACTCATCCTCTCCTGCACCTCTCTCCTCTCCTCCCTCTCTCAGGATCCTCTGCTCTCCCAAGCTCACACACCTTTAGCTCCGCACACCTCTCTTCCTCCCTGCCCAGGTATAGGCATTTTTTTTTAAATTGGCCAATCAGGGAGCGTTTGAAAGGCAACATTCACAAACGTCATTTTGGTTAAGTGAGGGTTTGCTCTTAGAACAGTAAGAAATTGCCATCTGAAAACGTGGTGTCTCCAGATTAACTACCACAGGACGCAGTTAGGAGGGTCTACTTGTGAAAATACTCGTACCAGAGTAGGAGGATGCATTCAGGAGCCACTGGGGGTCAGCTTGGTGGCTCAGCAGGTTAAAGAATTATTTTAAGTACACTAGTGTTGTTTTCTTTCAAATAGTTGTTACTTGGGGTCATCTTGCCCAGTTGGCAGAATTTGCTTTTCTCAGGAAGAGAATGACGGAATTGCTCCCTTTAGCTGCCCGTGAGGGTGCTTTGCTATGGGGATGGGCCTAATGGATGGTCAAGTCACGGTTGTCTCCTTTTTCTCCTAAGCAAATTTAGCCGTAAATCTTTCACAAAGTCAAGTTTATTACTTTTGAGTTTCTTCTCTGTCACAATGGCCAAAACACACTGAACCCCTTAAGGGGAAGGACTTACTTTGGCCCACAATTTCAGAGGGTTCAGCCCATGGCTATTTGGCCCCTGTGCTCAGCAGAGCGCAGCAGTGGGAACATGTGGGTAAGGAGCTTCTTCACTCCCCGACTGACAGGAAGGACAGAGAACAAGGGCCAGTCATCTACTTCTTCACCTACATCCCGTCTTCCAGAATTTTCAGAAGCTCCCCAGACAGCACCCCCACCTGGGAGCCAAGCTGTCAACACACAAGCTTCTTTTGTAGCTGCCCCCTATCCAAACAATGACAAGGGTGACACCCTACATTTCTAGCTGGTCTTTATTTAAGATGCCTTTTGGGTATCTGTAAAGAGACATTAGGTAGGCATTTATCCAAAAAGGGGTCGGGTTTAGGCAGGCGTGGATGGGAGAGGAGCTGGGACCTATCTGTATAGGTGTGGTAAGAGTTGATGCGAGTGTCAGAGAAACAGAGACCGGGAGAGAGACAGTGGTGGTGAGAGACAGATGGACAAAGACAGATAGATAGGCAGGAGAGAGAGAGAAGAGAGGGGTCCTACCAGGAGCTTTGGCTAACTAAGGAGAGACAGAGGACAAACAGTTAGCTGCATTAGATTCTGCTGAGGGGCCAGATCAGGTGAAGGCTGAGTGAAATCCTTAGCAAAGTCTGCTTTCGAGAAACCGGAAGTCAAATGGGTTGTGGGGCAAAATGAGTGTGTGTGCAAGGGTACAACAATTTCTCCTCTCCTCTCCTCTCCTCTCCTCTCCTCTCCTCTCCTCTCCTC